TGGGTGTGAGGCGGCTGTGACAGCTAGAGCAAGGTTTGCTTGGGTGAAGTTTAGGGAATGTGGAGAGCTACTATATGGGAAGAGATTTCCCTTGGAGATGAAAGGAATACTTTATAAGAGTTGTGCGAGATCAGCATTGCTGTATGGGAGCGAGACATGGTGTTTGAGTGAAAATGAGCTGGGTATTTTAAGGAGGACAGAGAGAGCGATGGTGAGAGTGATGTGTGGGGTGAAGTTGATAGACAGAAAAGTAACTGAGGACTTGATGCAGATGTTGGGTTTGAAGGAAGCGGTAGATCGGTTGGCGAAGGCAAATGGGGTACGTTGGTATGGGCATGTGCTGAGGAGGGAGGATGGGCATGTTTTAATGCAGTTGTGTTTATTTTATTTTTTTAAATTTTTTTTAGAAAATACTTTCGTTACTAATAAAATTGAAAAAAATAATTTCGGCGTTAATAGTAAATGAAAATATAAGTCCCCAAAAAATATTTGAACCCCAAAGATGGGGCCCACCACCAGGACGATTTTTTGGATGAGCAAATTTACAGCAGAATCCGGTATTACTTAACATGTCTAGGACTTCCAATGAAATATAAACAATACAGCCTAAAGCGAGAGGGCAGTCACCTGCACACGAGCAGGAATTGAGTCCCAAGCGACAATAACAGCACACACTAAAAACGCAAAAGCTCATGGGTGGATGCTTGTTTGTGAACAATAACATGCTATGGCTATCTGACGCATGCGCATGTGACGACTCCCCCACTTTAAATTTAAATTAGGTTTTCAAATCAGCTGTATTGCGGTTGTGTTCTCTTACCTGATTGCACTTTTGAGGTAAAACTGTAGCAACAGACTGAGGTAGTATACCAACATTGACAAGCCCTTTCCTCATCAATGAATGTAGAATCTTCTCCAACTCATTGATATACTTCACTCTTACAAGACCTCTAATAAGACAATGCTGTGCACATTTGAACACTGTTAAAACATCCTGCAAATAACAAAAATAATTTAACACATCATCGTCGGAAAGTCTTGATGGATAGCCAAAATGTACGAGAAAAAATAGCATTGGCAGGCAAGGTGTTTGGGAGGTTTAAACTTTGATTAGTATTATTTCATTATTCTTGCCATCAAGATACCAAAAATTATTTGGGGTTACGAGAGGACACAATATCACATGTGACAAAATATCCTGCAAATAATAAAAATAACTTAACACATCGGCGTCGGAAAGTCACTATTCCACAAATAAATCACTGCCAGTGCTGATCACAGATAAGATCACATAACGCTTTTTCAGAGTTAATATACATGTACCTTCCTTTCCCCTTAACCAATGCAAGAATATTTTGTTTTTTCCTCTCACTTCCTGGTTTCAGTCTCGGAAAATTCATTAACCCTTTCTGCACCAATTTTTTGGACGAACAGACAAAATATGACATTGTTTCTAGTTTTTGATAAAAAAAAAAAGAAACTTCTGCCAACATTTTCTGTGGAGAAGAGCTGACTATCACTAGAACCATTTTGTAGATGTTACCTGAACTTGACCTTGGCACAGAGGGTTAATGCCATGGCACTTTTTATGTGGACAATTTAATCTTCCTGTCAATGAAAAATGGCAACAGTGATTTTAAGTGAAGCTTACTTTGCAATTTTTATTCCACAGTGCAATGATAAGATTGCGCAAGGCAAGGTAAGCAGTTTGGTACTTTGACAGTTCAGGAAATGCTTGTATTTCTTCAGGTTCCATGACATCAGGACGTATACAACATGCTTTGCCTTCTTCGTCAGGTTGATAGAATGGTTGGAAATAAGAGTTTGTTTCTGCAACAAAAATACAAGACATGTAAAGTTGTGAGAAATGTAGAAACTTATTTTTTTATCAGTCTCGTGCAAATTTTCTGCGGAGACCAAAACAACATGTCAGTGTATCAACTTAAGCTTCTCTGGCATGGTGTCTTGCTGTAGGAAAGCAGAAAGCAAGCAAAAAGGCTGTATAAATGACTACTCCAACAAATCTTCGGGACTGAGCCCTTACCGTCTCTAAACACATCAGGCTGTAATTATGGTTTTCAATTGACTTTTTATTTTAATTCAAGTGCCCAATGTAAATTATGGTTTTTTGGTCTGGAAATTAGTCTGGAGTATTTGAAAATCAATTGAATATGGAGTAAATGTTTGTCATTTTATTGTATTTCTCAGGTGCAAAATATCAAACAATTGGTCTTCTGGCAGCATTATACTGCACACTTACGCACAGTCAGTATCCAAATATGCGACCACTAACGGTTTCTTGAGTACCAACCTTGAATCTCTCCATTCTGTTGTTGTGTTTTGGAACATGTAGGACTCATACCGACACCATCTGGATAGTAGTTAGAAAGAAAAGATGCTGCCGGACTATTGATAACCAATGGTGTATATGCTAAGTTAGGTAGCCACTCTGGGTTTTCTAGGACATCCTTGACTCGAGGATCTTCAGGGGTGGAACATCTTGAAACATTACCATTCTGGAAGTAAATTATATGTAGTTAGGTCTAACACCATTGTACAAAGTTGGTGTTTTTGCAAAAAAAAAAAGGTCACATGATTTCAATTCTCAGAGTCAGTTTCAGTTTTAAGAATGTTGTTACAATCTGTTTGCAAAGTAACCCTGGACATAAGAATTGAGAAAAATATGTGAGCATATTTAAAAGGCTTTCACTGTCTTGAAAAACCTCAAATATTATTTCAAGCACAAGTGATTTTAGGTGAGAAATACTGAGAATAAACACAATATGCGCATAAACTTCAGTTTGAAATTTATAAAGGTTTAATGAGGTTTTGAGACTGCAAATTTCATAGTTTGAATTCTGCGAATTGTAGGAAATGGTATCAAATGTTGTCAATCTTTTTGGTTTAAATAAATAAATCTACTGTTTTCCCAAAATACTGTGACTTAAAATATCTATAATTTGCATATACTCATACAATTAAATGTGTCACATAATAATTCACTGAAATATACTGAAAACCCACCTTTGTCGATTGCTCAGCCACACCACAATGAAACTGTCTGACAAAGTCTGGTGTAATCTCTTTTTTGCTTGTCTGCCTCCATTTTTTACAGTTGCTTCTCGTACACTGCACCCAGTATGGGAGCTGTTGATCGGACATAAATGCCTTCATTGTAGGCTCACTTTTAGCATTGGCCGTCCATTGCTTCTTCCACTGCAGGAACAATTTATAACCAGTTTTGTGGCTGTAAACAAGAATTATCAACGTAACAATGGCATGAATTCTCCATCCACTCACAATACACATAATTATTATCAGTTTAGTTGTTGTCACTGGGATCTGAATTCAATGTACTTACGTTCGGTAAAAATGTTCAAAACATTCATTACAGAAGTGTTCCCCGGCTGACAAGTGATACCATCGTGATGTCGTCGCATTGCATCTGTTGAAAACAAAATAAAACAGCTTATATACTATAACGTTAGCATTGTATTTAAAACACCAAAATTTATTCCATAACTGAATTTCTTCTCCATCGTTATTGTGTGTTTTTTGTTTGAAGAAAACAAATTTAAAAAGAAAACAAGCAGCCTGTCGGCTGAGATGGCTCCGCTGTTAGCAATGCTAATTAGCAAGGCAATTAAAGAACAGAAGATATCATTAGAAAATGAACAAATCTGAGTGAGGTCCACATGTAGTACCTATATATATATATCAAAGCAATTGGACTTGCGGTTTTCAACAAGAAGTCGAAAATATCACTTTTTGCCAAAAATGACAAAAATATTCACCCAAATTAGCGAATTAAAGATATCATTACAAAATGAACAAATCTGAGAGAGGTCCACATGTAGTACCTATATATGTAATATCAACGCAATTGGACTTGCGGTTTTTAACAAGAAGTCGAAAATATCACTTTTTACCAAAAATGACAAAAATATTCACCAAAATTAAAAAATTAAAGATATCATTACAAAATGAACAAATCTGAGAGAGGTCTACCCAAGGTACATAAACACCAAGTATGAAAGCATTCAGGTTTGTAGTTTTCAAGAAGAAGTCGAAAAAGTAAAACATTGACACGGACGACGACGACGGACAATCACTCATATGATAAGCTCCGCTCGACAAAGTCGACAGCGGAGCTAAAAACCCACATTTTTATATGGTTTTATTTTTTAGTTGAAAGGGTGACTTTTTCAGCATAGAAGTTAATGAAAGGAGATTTGCAAAATAACAGTCTCTGTAAATATTATAATTCATGTAATTAGGAAGTGCAAAGAATACTTGGCTTTTGCTTTGTTATAGATCTAAAGGTCTAGTTTGAATTATACTGGTGGTCAACATGATGATTAGAAAATATTATCTAGTCAAGTGTTCATCATATAACAATGGGTTTTACTCATCTCTGCAACAAACTGATAGATATATACTAGAAATCACCCTCAAAACATGATGGAATCAGTAACTTCTGTATGAATTTCAGATCTAATACAAAAGCAAGTTTCAAGCTGGTTTACTGTTACATAATATGCAGAGTGACACTATAGGTTCAAAGAAATATATTACTAATCTATCCTCAACATAGAGAAATAACTTTTTCATGTAATGTGTACTATTTTTTACCCTTGTCTAGATAGAATGATCTATGCTGTGTGTGTATATTGGGGGAGGAGTATCAATGAGAAAGTTCTTTCAAGTATAGATTTGGCAAACTGTTTGAATAATTCTCAGATCTCCTATAAAGCTGCTACACACTATATACTGCATTACATTGGTGTACTCGTTTACGGTGATTTACATTGCAACTATAATAGTGGATTTCAAAATTTAAACAAATGAAAATACATGAAATTAAAATGGGAAAACAAAATAAAATGTGAACAAATGATTCTAAGGCACAATCCCAAGAAATGACATATCCCTCTTCAATCTTCTTATAGCTTACCTCTCACCAGCTACAAAACAAACAGGTTGGCCATGATCAGCTGAAGGACACTTCGTCTTTTCACAGCTCCTAAGTGGTTTTTTGCTGTTAGTTTCATCCTCTTCAGGCTCTGCATAATTGATATTGATTTCTGTGACTTTTCGCTTAGGCTGCTGCCTCTGAGGCCTGTCTAGCTTGGTTGGTGATTTACTAGGAAGTATAGTAGTTTTTCTTTTGGGTCTTCCTCTACTTGGCATACTGCTCTGCAAAAACAAGAATTGAGAAATAACTTCACATCCTGCAATCCATAAGAAAAAGAAATTTTAGTTTACCCAATATTCTGATCTGAATATTTGACTCACTGAATGAATATACAATTTTTCATTTGATTTTACCTATTTCTAGGAAAACAAGTCTTTGTTAATGACACAGTCCCTGTCCAAAATTTTGTGATCTGACATATCAATTTGATCCTGATGAAGTTATTGAGATTAGATTGTAAAAAAATTTGATTTAGTACTTTTACATAAGAATTGGACATTCGGCAGTCATATTGAATCAAATTACAAAAATAATGTTCGTGTTGATGTATCTATTGGTATACTGTCTTTGTACAAAATTTAAACTAGAATGTTCATTGCATTCATGGGTATCATTAAAAACAAAATGGCCACCAGTCGGCCATATTTGTTCGAATCTCAGAATATGACATGCACCTATAACTTAATATGTATGATCACCATACCAACTTTGATCCAAATCGGCCTAGTCATCTCTGAAAAACAGCTCTGGACATGTAAAAATGACGATTCAGCACTTTTACATGAAATGTGGGTGTCACCCAGCCATATTGAATCGAATCACAACAAGTCATTGAAAATGACACAGTCCCCGTTAAAGTTTTGAAAGTTGTCTTTGTGCTTGTCATATTAAAGCAGAGAGGTTGTCACGAGCGTGTCCTTGAAACTTGAGTTCCAAGAGGTGTACACAACAGACTGTTTATTTACATCAAAACACGTGTTCCGTGTAGTAGTAATATGGCCAAAAATAAAAACAGCCATTATTCTGCCATCTTTGATCTGATTATGAAACACACTGATATGTATGATGTATGTGCCAAATACGAATGAAAATGGTACATAAATTGTGGAAATTAAGCAGTAAGGTCAAAAAGTCAGATGGCTGTCGATCGGCCATCCTTGACCAGATTTGAAACAAATTGTCATGGACATGTATCCTAACATGTATAAAGTACATGTATGTGCCAAGTTTGAATAAAAACTGACAGAGCACGTCCAAGATACCGCATAAAAAAAAAAAAGATGCTGCCAGTCGACCATCTTTGATCCAATCATGGACATGTATCTAACATGTATAATCTATGTACCAAGTTTGAAGGACAACTGACAAAGCATGTCCAAAATACAACATTTTCAAAAAACAAGATGGCTGCCAGTCGGCCATTTTGAATCGAATCACTAAACCACTGCATGTGCATATGTCCCACATAAGGTACTAGGCACATGCAAATAATGAACTGAATCGGTCCACAGGATTCTGAAATATGACTCTGGACAGACTGACGCACGAACAGATGAACGGACGGATGGACGGACAGACTCAAGAACTCACGGATGGTCGGAGACATGTATCCTAACATGTATAATCTATGTACCAAGTTTGAATGAAAACTGACAAAGCATGTCCAAAATGCAACATTTTCAAAAAACAAGATGGCTGCCAGTCGGCCATTTTGAATCGAATCGCTAAACCACTGCATGTGCATATGTCCCACATAAAGTATTAGGCACATGCAAAGAATGAACGGAATCGATCCAAGGGATTCTGAGATATGACTGAACGAACGCACAGAGACCAAATTATAAGTCCTCGTTTTCGGACTTTGTCCGAACGGGGACTAAAAATAATGATGGTGTAGTTGTATGTCTTGGTATACTATCTTTGTACAAAATTTTAACAGAAACGTTCATGGCATTCAAGAGAAAGTAGCTAAGTACCATGAAAAACAAAATGGCCGCCAGTCAGTAATAATTGTTTGGATCATGAAAAAAATATGACGTTCACCTATAACACAATATGTATGATCAGCATACCAACTTTGATCTAAATTGGCCTAGTCATATCTGAGAAACAGCTCCAGACATGTAAAAAATAATGATTTAACGCTTTTCCAGGAAATTTGGGCGTCTGTTAGCCATATTAAATCCAATCACAAAATTAATGTTGGTACAAATGTATCCCTTAGTATACATGTACTATCTTTGTACAAAATTTAAAGAGAAACGTTCATTGCATTCAAGAGAAAGTAGCATGGGTACCATAAAAAACAAAATGGCCACCAGTCGGCCATATTTGTTTGAATCACGAAAAAAGTATGACATGCACCTATAACCAAATATGTATGATCATCATACTAACTTTAATCCAAATCGGCCCAGTCATCTCTGAGAAACTGCTGCGGACACGTTTAGGTATCAGAAATAGCAAATTTAACATCCAAAATAGCCGCCAGTCGGCCATTTTTGCTCCGATCATAAAGTAACTTGATGCGCATATGTAAGACATTGTCTTCATGTTAAGTTTGAATGAAATCCATTAATTGGTGTCTGAGATATAGCTCTGGACGTATGTACATACGTATGGACGGACGTAACAAACCCAAATTAATAGTCCCCCTTTTCGGACTTCGTCCGAGCGGGGACTAACAAACCATGCGTCAGTCGAGTCGATGCGGTCACCATATTGCAATGTGGTAATCTCATGATAAGCTTACAATATGGAGACATTTCTTTTATTTGCTAAAATGGGCAATTATTCGAATGTACCGTATAACGGTTTATAATTTAATCTTAACATAGAGACACCAGCACCTAAACTTCAATTTTTGGTAATCAGGAATCAGTATTAGATTCATAAATCACTTGAAAATGACCTGTTTTCATGTCAACTTACTGATATGTAATGAATATATACAAGAATAATGTTCTTGTCAGTTGGTTTTTAAAAAATCACTCCTTTCAACTGATACTACGATACCAATAAAATAAATATTGGTGTAAAAATGCCCAATTCTAAATATAACGTTGAAAGATCTATGATGCTATAATAACTGACCATTATGTTATAGGTTTAGATTCAAAACAAGCTGTCTGTAAAGCGTGATGACAATGGTGCCAGCTGGCAGGAACACTAACATATGGGGTTAACCTATTGATTAATTTCATCAGTCAGCTGGTGTACACGTACAAGTTGTAATAAATGTGACCAATTTGCAGATATTTATATGAGGTGGCCATCTTGAATCCCCTTTGAACGTAACAAAATTGCAAAATTCAGATTTCTACAAAACAGTGAAAAATCCTGCCAGCGAAATATGAACGAAATCAGCAAATCCTTCAAGTATTCGAAATCGAAACCATCATCTAATGATAAGGCCATCACTAATTGGCTACTGGGACTGGATAAAGATTTTGATTTCAAATGCTTCCCCCAAATCACAGTGAACATTTCACTGGGGTTCTCTCCACACAGTGGAGTCACAGTGATCATTTCACTAGGGTTCTCCACACAGTGGGGTCACAGTCAACATTTCACTGGGGTTCTCCACATAGTGGGGTCACAGTGAACATTTCACTGGGGTTCTCCACACAGTGGGATCACAGTGAACATTTCACTAGGGTTCTCCACACAGTGGAGTCACAGTAATCATTTCACTGGGGTTCTCCACATAGTGGGGTCACAGTGAACATTTCACTGGGGTTCTCTCCACACAGTGGGGTCACAGTGAACATTTCACTGGGGTTCTCTCCACACAGTGGGATCACAGTGATCATTTCACTGGGGTTCTCTCCACACAGTGGGGTCACAGTGAACATTTCACTGGGGTTCTCCACACAGTGGGGTCACAGTCAACATTTCACTGGGGTTCTCCACACAGTGGGGTCACAGTCAACATTTCACTGGGGTTCTCCACACAGTGGGGTCACAGTGAACATTTCACTGGGGTTCTCTCCACACAGTGGGGTCACAGTGATCATTTCACTGGGGTTCTCTCCACACACAGTGGGGTTACAGTGATCATTTCAATGGGATTCTCTTCACACAGTGGGATCACAGTGAATATTTTACTGCAATTCTCCACACAGTGGGGTCACAGTAAA